CCGTCGCCTCTCAAGTTCAGCAAGCACATTAGGGTAGAGAGCAAATATAGTGCGATAAACATGGGTTTTTACCTCCGGATCACAAGGCTTGGAGGTTGATATTCATTCTCAAAAACCAACATATTCCTTGCATTCCAAATGAAGTAGAAGGCGGCCGCTAGTGCCGCTTTCTTCAATTTGGATCTCCAACTAGCCCCTCTCACCTCCTTCTTGGTCCATTTGAGAGCGCCTTTAAGGGTCGACTGTCTATGGCGGAGGCTAGCCTAAGTACGAATATCACCCCAAATCTCCGAGCTAAAGGAGCACTCAAAGAATAGGTGGCTCGAAGACTCATTTACGACTCCGCATAGAGGGCACATCGGGTCTTCATCAAAAAATTCAAGACGGTCTTTTGTCCGAAGTCGATTAAGGATTCCAAGCCATAGAATGAAGGAATGCTTGGGGGTATTGCAAGCCCCCAAACAACCCCGCTCCATGGCTTCGTGGGTCCTCTAGGTCGTAAGTAGTCATAGCACTTACAAAACCCGTCTTGTCTATCTCGGGAGTACCAACCTCAGAGGAGGCCTTCCGCTCCTCGTTCACTTCTCGCTCTTTCAACCAAGCTTTGTCGGATTTCGAAGAGGGACTTGAAGAGAGGTGAGTCGTTCGGTTTAACTTCCCAAACCCAAATGGAGTTCCCCTTCAAATAAATGTTGTGAATCCATTTTTGCCACAATATGTCCTTCTTTGCTTGCATGTTCCAAAGCGTCCGGGTGAGCAACGCTTGGTTCCACGCTTTCAAATCCCTAAGCACCAAACCTCCCTCCGAGCGCGGTAAGCAAAGGCTATCCCAAGCCACGGGAGCTCTTCGATCCCCAAAGGAACCTTCTACATAGTTGTGTGATTTTTGTTCTAACAATGCCGGGCAAGTGGAATATCCCCATCCAAAAGCACACAATGCCTTGAATCACCGAGCGAAGGAGTTCCAATCTTCCAGCATAGGAAAGAGTATGTCCATTCCACCTACTAAGTTGCCCTTCAATTTGCTCAATCATATCGTCAAAGAGCCTACCGGTTATTCGGTCCGCGGAGAGAGGGACACCGAGATACCGAAAGGGCATTGAGCCTCACTGCAAGTTAGTGTTGTCGAGGATCATGGCCCGACTATCATCCTTGACACCGGCTAAGTATATGTTGGACTTTAGCACATTCATCTCAAGCCTCGACTTAGCTCCAAAATCCTTGAGGGCATCCATAAGAATTTGGATTGACGGTGGGTCGCCACGAGATAGAAGCATGAGGTCATCGGCGAAGGCAAGGTGCGAGATTTTTAACTGCTCGCACATCGGATGGTATTTGAAGTTCATGCCGGCCGCCGTGTTGCTCTTGATAAACCGAGTAAGGTATTCCATACAAATCACAAAGAGGAAGGGTGATAGTGGGTCACCTTGCCTAAGACCACGACCGCCTTTGAAGTGACCCTTGAGACTCCCGTTAATAGATATAGAGTAAGAAGGGGTAGGACGCACTCCATTACCCACTTAGTGAAGACCGGGGGGAAGCCAAGTCCGTCAAGTACTTGTTTCAAAAACGACCAAGAGATGGAGTCAAAAGCCTTTCGTAGGTCTATTTTGATAATACACCTAGGAGAGACTCGTCTCCTCAAGTATAGTCGGAGTAGTTGTTACATTAGGTGTATGTTGTCTGTAATGCTCCTCCCTTTCACGAATGCGGCTTGAGCCTCGTCAATGATGGAGTTAAGGACTTCGTTAACTCGTCTAGCAAGGATTTTAGAACAAATCATGTAGACCGTGTTGCAACACGCAATAGGCCGAAAGTCCGTTACTTGCAAGGAGTGGGAGGACTTCGGAACTAGCGTGAGGGCCATATGGTTCCATTGCTTGAGGAGTGACCCGGTGCGGAAGAACTCTTGGATAGCCGCCACCACATCTCCCCCAATGATGGACCAACTCTTCAAGAAGAAAGTAGAGGTGTAGCCATCCGGACCCGGGGACTTACCACCCTCATTGTCCCTAAGAGTGTTCTTGATTTCTTCCTCGGTGACTGGGGCAATGAGGCCCCGACAATCATCAACTCCAACACACGGTCCCGCCCGAAGGATTTGGGGATCAACATCCTCCGTTTTGACTCCAGTTCCCAAGAGAGCCTCGTAGTAATAGACAAACTCTTTGGCAACTTCCTCCATGGACTCGGTAACGGTGCCATCTTCCCGGTTGATCGAGGCGATGAAATTTCGTTTTGATTGCTTTTTGACCAAGCAATGGTAGAACTTGGTGCATTTGTCGCCTTTGATTTGAAAATTGCATCTGGCCTTCTGTTGATAAAAGAGTTTCTCGGCTTTAGCTAATCTAAGTGCTTCAAGTCTAAGTGGGGGCATGTTGGCCTTGGTTTTGGGGTCGTCGGGTTGATCATGGAGCGCTTGTTGTGCCATCTTGAGGGCATTCTTCGCTTCTTTAGCCCGGGAGGAGATGTGCGAGAAGGCCTCCTCATTGAGAGTCTTTAGCGAGCACTTAAGGTTTTTCAAATTAGTCGCAAGGCGGAATTGCCTCGAGCCCCCACCACTATGGTTCCAAGTGTCATGAACACTCGGCAAAAACTTCTTGTGGGCCGTCCACATATTAAAGAACCGCCACGGTGACCCGGTAGTGCTCCTCGCCTCAAATATTGTAACTACGCACGGAGAGTGGTCGGAGATACCCGGAGCTAGGAATGTCGCATGTGAGAAAAAATCGACAGTCTCCCATTGAGTATCCACCATTGCTCTATCAAGCTTCGACCAAACATGATTGTTGGTCCAAGTGTGGTAGAAGCCGCTTGAGGGATGTCCGACAATCCCAAGGCGTCACAAACTTCCACGAGGTCCATGGTGTCCCGGTTAGTGACCCTTTCTCCCTTGATTCTCTCTTCCGGTTTGAGGATAGCATTGAAGTCTCCTAGAAGCAACCAAGGCAAGGAGATTCTCTCCCGGTAAACCTTAAGCTCATTCCACAACAACTTTCCGTCTCCTCTCGAGTGAAGTCCATATATAAAGCTAGCAATAAATTGGTGGTTGCTAACCTTACAGTGGATCTTTGCAAATATGACTTGAGACAAAACAACCTCCATCGTAATGTCAACCTTCATGAGGTTCCATAGTACGGCGATGCGCCACGGTTAACAACATCAAAATTCTCGCAAAAAGCCCAACCTGGCAACCTTCTATTCACAAAGAGAGATAGCCGCCTAATGTCGGTCTTCGTTTCCAAAAGTCCCAAAACGTCAATATTATATCTCTGGATGAGGTTTACCACCTCATCTTGTTTTAGGGGCCTGTTAAAGCCCCTAATGTTCCATGAGGCGATAATCATTGAGAGGAGGAGGGTTGGCCCCCCTTCTTCGTCGAATTCACCTTGCCCCCATCTCTCCTCCCGCTTGGTCTATCTCTAAGCTTGGAGTATTGACCCGTAGCTGCGGCGGCTTGGCTCGCGGCTCCACTACGGGTGAGAATCTTGTTATACATACCTACCACTTGGAAGGAGTCATCTTCATTATCCGGAGGAGGGTTCTCAAAATTTTGGGGTTCCGAGTCCCCGGATGGAGAAGAGGAAGAACTGGCATCCGATGTGATGGCCACCGCCTCTTTCCTCTTTTCACTATCCCTATTCCCCTCCTTCGATTCGTCTCCTTTCTTTTGTTGTTTCTCCCCAACTCCCACCTTCTTAGGTTCATGGTTTTCTCCTTGCTCTTTATTGGTGTATCCCCC